AAAAAAAAAAAAAAAAAAAAGAAAGGGAAAGAGATTTATTGTTGACTTGCCTCAAAATTCCAGCTCCTGTTATTATCTGGAAAAAAGAGAGATAATTGTTCCTATCTTAAATTTGTATAATTTGCTTCCATTGGATTTGGTTATTTTGTTTGATGGTTTCTTGCATGTTTACCACTTTGTGAGGCAGCATGAATCGCATTATGATTTTCTCATGTGCATCTATGTGCAGATGAGTGGTTCAAGAATGAAAGTTGCCGGAAGGTTCAAACCTTGTGTACATATGGGCTGCTTTGATCTTGACATTTTTGTTGAAATGAATCAAAGGTCGAGGAAGGCAAGTAACTATGCCCCAGGTTTATGTGTCTGTCAGGCTTAGATAAAAATCTCTGTTGTGTCTACTGTTATTTAGTAACAAATGTTATTGATATGATGTAGTGGCAATGCCCAATCTGTCTCAAGAATTACTCTCTGGAGCATATCATTATAGATCCGTATTTCAATCGGATCACTTCTCAGGTATGTGTAGTAATTATCTGTGATTTTACACTTTCTTAGTCTTGTTATTTATTATTCACTTCCCAGGTATGGCTAGTTTTGCTTGTCATCTAACTATGTTAACCTCATTATTCTTTTTTTTGTTTCTTTTTGGCTTTTCTGGTGCAGCTGCAAACTTGTGGAGAAGAAGTGTCAGAAATTGAAGTGAAACCTAATGGTTCTTGGCGTGCAAAGGCAGAAGGTGATCGAAGGAGTATTGGTGATCTCGGACGGTGGCATTTACCTGATGGTACTCTCATTGAATCTCAAGATATAGAGTCAAAACCCAAGCCTGGAATTCTTAAGCACGTTATACAGGAAGGAGGCTCTGAAAGCTGTGGACTTAAAGTTGGGTTGAAGAAGAACAGAAATGGTTTGTGGGAAATTAACAAACCTGAAGATATGCAGACATTTCCACAAGGAGATGGAGTAAGAGAGAACGTAGAAAATCATATTCAAAATATCATTCCCATGAGCAGCAGTGCCACTGTGAGTGGCAAGGAAGGTGAAGATCCCAGTGTTAATCAGGATGGTCTCGTTAACTTTGATTTCCCTACCAATGGGTTTGAACTTGAAACCATTTCTCCAAATTTTACCCCAGCATATGGTTGTAATGACCGGAACCCCCCAGCACCAGCTAGAGGTGCTGAAGTTATTGTCCTAAGTGATTCTGACGAAGAAAATGAGCCATTCATCTCTTCTGCATCCATTTACAATAACAACCATACCAATGCACCTGTAGTCTCTTTTGCGGGTAGGCCTAAAGAAATTTCAGCTTCTTGCCATGACAACCGAACACTTGTTAATGATGGGAATTCATGCCTGGGGCTGTTCAATGCAAACGATAATGAATTTGTGATGAATATGTGGCCTTTGCCTACTGTTAACCAGGGGGGCCCAAGCTTTCAGTTATTTGGTTCAGCTATGCACCAGGGTTCTATCAACCGTGCAAGCTCTACCAATGGCTACTCATTGGCTGCAGACACTGGCATTGGATCTTGTACTCTTCTTCCTGAATCTTCTGTTGATCATATGAATGGTTTAAATAACAATACCGTATTATGTGACGGTATTCAGGGATCACTTCATATATTTCTTCCTCTACCATTAAATGTATCAGTTGAGGCTGATGTGCGTCAGCCAGGTGTGTCAACTGGCGTTCACACTGAGGATTGGGTTTCACTTAGGCTTGGCGCAGGTGGGGGTTCTGCAGTTGCAAATGGGTTGAACTCAGGGAAGCCGCTGCAAACCAAAGACTCTTCCTTGAACGCATTGGCTGACACTGGTATGTCCCTATTTATAGATATTGTGTTGGAGATTAGAAAGAGAAAGCTGAGAAATGTCAACATTCACATTATATATGCATTTACACTGCATTAATACTTCTAATTGCAACAAATATTATTTAGGGTTAATAGACCACAATTATTTTTTCTGTGACTAGTCATGTTTGGATGCATAATATGATTAGTTGAAAACTCTAATATAAGGACATACATGCGCCTAGAGTAGCATTACGGAACTCCCATCCTATTATTACTTTTTTGAAGTAGTTCTCAATGTGATGAAAGATGTTATAAGTGAGATAAGATATGTTGTCACAAGTATTCTTCTCCTTTGTTCTTCTGTTGACGTTATCTGAACCTATTTTTAATGATGCTACTTTATGCACAGCTTCATTGGTTGTTGATGTGAATGACGAAGTATCAATGACGAGCAGTAGGAAAAGATCAGATGGTCCATTTAATTTTCCTCGCCAACGTCGTTCTGTTAGACGGAGATGTCTAAATAATGATTCAGACACTGAATAGGGAGCCAATTGCACATATGAGGAATAATGATACTTGCTGCAAAAATGAGGATCCAATCACATGATATCTTGTTTGTAAGATCGATCTTTTTTGTCTTGGAGATGAACATGCATCTACCAACAGAGAAACTACCTTCAACTCCTGTGCTGGAAGTTCTCCAGCTTTTGTATTCTATTGTCTGGACTCGGAATCCCCCGCTCCCATATCCTGCCTGGCCATATTCTTCTTTTCATTTTGTTGATGATGCAAGTGAATTGTACATTTGGATAGCTTGAATAGGGCAAGCTAATAGTACATTTTGATAGCTTAGCTAGGTTTAAAAAATACTAGCAACAGCAGTTGGTAATTACTGCTGGATGTAAAGTAGCAAAGGAATAGGGGCCTATAGCCTGTAAATCTTACTACATTGAGTAATTTATAGACTATAGCATTTTGGAATTTGTGTTTCTCCTGTTGAGTACTCTTACAGTTAATCATTGAGATGATGGTTAAATCTCAACCATAATAAAAGGCTAGCCCAACCAAATGTCAACTTCCTCAGATTAGGGAACCTTGGGAGAGCTGTAGACTCCAACTATCATTCCCTAGATCTGACAAACTCATTCTGTTTTTAACTTGAGATATTCAGATTATGAGTTTTAGCAAAGCTTCATCATGGTGGTAAACTCTTTTATCTCCAAAAATCACTAGTTTTCAACTAAGTATCCGTCCAAACTATTCAACTAAGTCCTGAATAACCCTAGAGACCTTAGAAATTTTCAAGCCTCGACTCCGACTATGTTAACCCAAAATATTGACATTCGCCAAATTCCAACTTTTAACTTTTTTGGTTTCGTCTACGAAACACATGGATCGACTAGTGTCACCCATCCCACAAGTCATAAAACATGTATTATGCCTATGGAAAGTGCCATTTTAAGGGGAAAAAAGTCCTAATACTTGAATCATTGCGCGGATCGTTAGACTTCTTCACGTTGTTCACCTTTAAATTTTAATTAGATCAAGCTTCAAATCCTTGCACCATATCTTTTTTAAAGAAAAATTTGCACAAAATTTGTTCATCATCCCCTTCAGTAGTTCCTGATTGAAACATCTAAGCATTGATGACCTAGGGTTTAAAATATTATGCATGTTCAAAGACTTAAATCATCTTTAATTTTAAAAAAGAAATATAAGACTTAAAAGTCTTATTCTTTGCACTGTGTATCGGTCGGTTCGGTTCGGTTTTAAACTGTATCGGTTTGACTTATTGGTTATCGATTTGTAGAGATGCTAAACCGCTATAGAACCATTAAGATATTGACATATCGGTTATTGATCGTTATCGATTTAATCGTTAAGATTTGACACAAAAATAAATTAATTAAAATCACTTAGAAACCAGGTGACAAATCGAATGCATCATGTACATGAGTACACAAGTTGCATCTTGCTCAAAAGCAAACACTTTTATATTGTAGAATAACCAAGATTTTGAGATAGCCAGAAATCGTTTTAAATATCGATACGATTTAAATTTTTTTTGCATACGCCACTGCCACTAGGAATGATGTTAAAATAAGTTAGCTAGCTACATCACAAGTGGTCATTGGTAGCTCTGTCTTAAATATTATATTATTGTCTGCTGCCATTTCTTACTCATCTAGATGATTTTGATCTGTAAACCTATTTGTAAATTAATTAATGATCCACTTTTTCAACCCTTCTCTTTATTATGATCATTAATTTTAGTCGAGAAGAGAAATTATGTTTGCATGTGTAAGCAAGATTGGATGAATTTTACACTATAATCCTTGCATACAAAATCAAACAACCAAAAACAAAAAATAATGGCTTTCTAGAAATTTTGACCCTAGTTCAATAATTTTTGAGCGACGGTTAGAAGTTCAAAATCACACGTAGAATTTACTAAACAAATAGAATAGGAGTAGAATATACATGGTATACTTGGCAAGTCAGCCATTTATATAAAGTGTTATATTATACTATTTTTAGTCAATCAACTCCCTCCAAATTGTGGAATTCAAGTTAAAGTCAGCAAAACAACTACTTCAAATGCCTTTATCTGGGACAGTCATATCTTATCTCATAACCCAGTCAAAAATCCTCAATAAGACCTCCACTAGTATTATTTTTTCTACAAGAATAAATAAAAATTTTCCAACGTATCGTATGATTCTCATTCTAGAATTCTTCCTGGAAGCGAACAATACTTGTGCTAGCAATTGGTTAGCTAGGGCAGGACCATTAATAAAAACTTAGTTAGAAGCCTAAGTCAAGAAACTACGAACCCTCTACAAGATTGTGGGGAAAATCTTTGTGATAATAATTGCAACATCTCAATATCATTTTTTCTATGTCCAATTAGACTTTGTCGTCGTTTCTCTTCTACTCAACCCCGTCTGTGATTCATTCAACCTCTTTAACCTATAATAAACCGAAGATAAGATTTGCTTCGTCAAAAAACTATATGGCTGGAGGAGGATCCGGTTCGAGTCCTTCTCGCACTCTTTTAAACACTCCAACTTGGGCTCTGGCTACTGTATGCTTCATCTTTATTTTCCTTGGAATTTTCATTGAACACTTGATCCATCTTCTTTGTCATGTAAGCAACTAGATTTTAGTTTAGTTTATATTGCTCGTATCCTTTTAAAAATATTGTTGAATTCTCTAAATATACATAACTTTTGGATGATATCTGACAGACATTTAACAATATTTTTTAAAAGAAAATAATATAGAGTATATGAGATTTAATTATGAGTTCCTTTGCATTTGCAACGTTGGTGAAGTGGCTCAAAAAGCATAGGAAGACCGCTTTGTTCGAAGCTGTGGAGAAACTCAAATCAGGTCATATATCTAATTTTACATTTCTTTAATTTGCTTACCCCAAAAAGTGAATAAATTGACTATTTATGTGAGAGAATTTTTTACATCTTTTTTTTTTTTTTTGAATGTGGACAAGATAAAGAAAATTTTTCTTAGTCTATCACTTTTTTGATGATATCTATATATAAAAATATATATATATTCGTCAAATATTTTAATCGGTTGAAATAGATCATCTATCTTATTTTTCAGGTTACTTATTCCACTTCTTAAATGTAGAGATTATTACCCTATTTGGCCATACTTTTGAAAAGACAAAAGTGTATATTTTCTTTACAAAATCTTTATTTTATATTTGGAGTATCAACTATCAAGGTGTTTGACTAAAGCATTTAAGTTGGAAAATGAGTAGTAATTTTTTAAATAGTAACCTCAGTTGTTTTTTCAAAAAGCTTTAAAAGAGGTAATGGTAATTGCTTTCAATTTTTTTTTTTTTAAAAAAAATCTTGATCAAACACAAAATTTATGTATTATGGAAATTGATAAAACTCTTTGACCATTTAATTTGTTTTTTATGTGCAGTGTTGATGCAACTAGGATTTTTATCTCTATTATTAGCAGTAATACAAAGGCCAATATCCAAAATATGCATACCAAATAGAATAACAAACTCCATGCTGCCTTGTAATCGTGATGTTCTACTCGATTCTACAAAAACCATCAATTCAGAAGATCATTGTGGCTCCAGAGTATGTGACACTTTCCAAATTTCGAGAGTCAAAGAAAAAAAATCATGATTTTTCATATACTCTTATGTGTTTTTGATTATCAATTCTTATGAGTTTACATGGTACATTTTACGTAGTATAATAAAATTTAGTATTTTCATGTCTGTATTCACAATCGACACATTAAAGAATTTGACTATTGACTTAATACCAACGATGACATATAAATTATAACAAAGATGGTATATGTTTTAGTTGTTTTAATTTTTTAATAAAAATGTTCTCTTTCTTATTTTAATATTTTTTTAAAAAAATTATTTGATAATTATTTTCCAGGGGATGACTTCTTTCATGTCACAAAGTGGAATTAATCAGTTAAACAACTTCATATTTGTGCTAGCAGTCATGCAGATTGTGTACAGTGTTGTCACAATGGCTTTAGGAAGAGCCAAGGTACACTATTTCTAAATAATACTCCTTCATCTCATGAAAATATTATTATTTAGAGAATCTAATATATAGTTTTTTTTTTTATTATTATAATTATAATTATAATTTTTTCAAACTTAAAAAAAAATAATCATTGGCTATGTCTAGTTATACAATATTTTGTGTAATGTTTAAATATATAATTTTTATATTTTTAAAAATTCAAAGGATATATGCTCATTATACATATTAAAATTAAGTATTTTAACTCTTATACTTTGAATTTTTTCGCATATATTAATTTAGAATATTTGTTCTTCTTAGTTATTGCACTTTGCAATTAATTGGAAAAATCAATATCTAAGAATTAAATGTTTTAGTTATTGCGCTTTGCAATTTTCAATTTTTATTTTGGAACTCATACTTTCCTTTGTAATCATAGGGGAGACAAGAAAAAAAAAAGATTAGATAGTTATAGAGTAGATTTAGATTTTACCAACACGGTATACATTCTTGAACACTTGATCAAATTCTTAATAAGTTGATATTTGCATTGATCTTATATATTTTGTTTTTCTTAACTTTTGATTGATCATGCAAAAATATAGAGATAGCGAAATCGATCTCAATCAATCAATTTAGACAATTAGAGTTAGTAATATTTTGAACAATTCTAAAAAGAAAATTTTGTGAATCAAGTATATCAATTAAAAAAAACTCAAAATAAGGGATATGAAAACCAAAAATAAAAATAATAAGAGCTAGGAATTGGGACTATAGTTAATGGGTCGATACATTAAATTGTCTGGACCAGTTGATTAATTCAGCTGTCAAATTAATTTTTAATATTGATTGATACTAAATCTGTCTGTATCAATTTATTTATGTTACTTTACTTTTAAATCTGTTTCAAACAATTTTTTTTTGATAATTCAATTCTAATTTTACATATGATATATTTAAGATCACAAATTTAAAGAATATTTTGATATATTCTAATATCTTTATCTAATTTAGAGTCTGTTTGACATTACTGTTAGGAGACTAAAAGTATTTTTTTGAAAAATAAAATATTTTTTTCGAAAAATTGAATGTTTGACGAATCCTTAAAACTTCTTTTAAATTGAAGTTGAAACAGTTTTTCTGTTGTGGGGAAGAAGCTTAAAAATTCTGCTTCTTAAAAAAAACAGAAACAGAAGCAGAAAATTATTTTTTTGAAGACTAAAATACCCCTTCATATATACATATTTACCAATATATCCTTCATTAATTTATTAGCATATCTCATAAGTTTGGTAAAATTTCATTCAAAAAAAATATTTTATATTTTCTATTTTTATATAATAATTTTTTATTTATTTTATGTTTATATATTATTATTTTATATTTTATGTTTTATATATTATTTTAGTTTTATTTTATAGAATTAGAAATAAAGGTAACAATAATATTTTGTAGGATTAAAAATATGAAGAACTTTATTTATGTTTGTGGTAAATATTCGTATATAGTGTTTTAATTTGTGGAATGATTTTTAAATTTATTTTGCTGGATATTTTTAATTATATTTAAATCATCATCTTAATATTTAATTAATTAATTTATGTATGTATAATATTGATCAGAAATTTGAATATGTACATTTTAATTAAAATTTATGTAATAGATATTTAAAATAGAGTTACCCTTCTTCGTAATTTGACTCTCAAAAACACTTTTTCAAAAAGATTAGCTAAACACAGTTTGTTTATCAAAAGCACTTTTCAAATGAATTAGCCAAACACAAATTGTTTTTTTCAAAGTCATTTAAAAAAAAAATCATTTTAAAACTTCTAGAAATAAACAGTTTTTATCAGCAATGTCAAACATGCTCTTAAAATCATAAGATTTAAAATATTATTTATTTTATCAAACTTCGTGTCAAATTAAAATTAGACAAATAAATTAAAACATACAAAGTAATTACTACTAACAAGTATTAATATTTACTTAAACTTCTATCTATTTATCATATATATTCTTTTGATTAATTAATAGATGAAACGATGGAAAAGGTGGGAGGACGAGACGAAGACCATAGAATATATGGCAGCCAATGGTATGAATCTTCTACTTGCTTATAATAAGACAGATCGAAAATTTTAAAAAAACTTTAAATTTTTGAATAAGTTATATATTTGGTTGGTTAGTCAAAATATTTATAAATTAAAAAACTTGCTAAATATAGAAAAATACAATTTTTTAAACCAATCAAGTAGAAAAGTAAAAGATTTTAATTGAGATAGAGAGAGTATAACTTTTGATATATATATATAGAGAGAGAGAGATAGAGAGTATAATTTTTGATATATATATATATATATATATATTTATTGTGTTCTATTTTATATCCATTCTTTATCCCATTTCATTGTTCTTAATGTCTTGTTGATGTTTTTTCCCCCACGTGTTTAGATTGAACGAAGTCATTGAGTCGAAATTCATTTATGAATCATCGTAGTTGAACCATCTTAGTAGTTGAATGTTACAACAAATTAAAGTTCCTAAGTTAAAATATAGTTAATATCTCAAAAGGTTACTGAACATCAATAATTTATCTATGAAAGTCAATAAATTTTATTTTATATTATTAAAATCACTCAACTTAAATATTTATATCAACAAAATCATCCGACTAAATTTATTAATAAAAAAATGTCATGACCAAAAATATATATTTTTTTATGCCATGTAATATGAAGCCCAAAAATAAATAAAATTAAAGAAAACTCACTAAGAAACCAATGAAAATGCTATATGACGATGGATCAATAAGAACTAGAACAACATGGAGAAGGCAGTAGTAGAAGCAATTCTCATTTTGCTATGCCAGATTTGTTTTAATGAAAAATCTAGTTAAGTGATTTTATTGATATATATGTTTAAGCTGAGTGATTTTATTGGAGTTTTTGGCTAAAATCATCCCTCAAATCTAATGTACACCCTTATATTATCTAAGTGAGCAAAAAACATCCTTATACTATCCAAAAAATAACAAGAATCATCCTTCAGTCTATTTTTGTTAAGAAACTGATTGAACCAATAACATTTTTTTTTAATTTGGTCATGTCTTAGCCACGACGAGAAGATCAAAGTTACCTAAAAAGAATAAGGATATGGATAGAAAATGAATATTTTATTCTCATAATTTAAATTTTGTGTGTTGTTAGTTTATATGTTTTTGCATCTTCAAGTAAATTGACTTGCAACAGTACATAAGTTTTGAAATATTTATACAGTAGGTTCCGATGGTTAGAAAGACTATGTAAAAAAATTAATTTTAAAAATATTACGTGCAACTATTTAGAGATTTTCTTTAATAAAAAAAAATATATAGTACGTATATACTATATATACAATGCAATTCACATTTTATACAATATACAGAAATACTAGAAATTTAGTGAAATTATGTAGGTGTTTTGTTGTTAAAATTAAATAATACTAATTACTTTATTTGAAATTTTTGAAATTGGAGTTGTATTTGGCCATAATTTTTACAAAGAATATTTAGAATTTGAATATATTTTGTTTGAGTATGATTTAAACTCTCTCAATATCTAAAAATTGAAAAAATCACCCAACTTGACTAGCTTAACCATGTGTACGTATATTCATTCGACTTGACACTTTTTTTTTGGTGGTGTGAGTTTTTTCTAAAAATAGACAGAAGGATGAATCTTGCAACTTTTTGGATAGTGCAAGGATGTTTTTTGTTCACTTATATAACACAATGATGTACTTTAGGTTTAGGTCATACTTCAAGGATGATTTTAGCCAAAAACTCTATTTTATTGATACAAGACAAAGTTTAATGAGTTTGCTAGATAAACTGTAAAAGTTGAATGGACTTTTAAGATATTAACTCGTTAAGATATTAGTATTTCAAAGTTTGAAAATAGAAAATGACTTCTTGATTTGATTAAATATAATTCATATCTGATTTATATTGTTGAATTCTAATTTTGATACATTTATGATCAAATGTAACCATACATTAGATCCTAATCGATTCAGATTTACAAGAGAAACCACATTTGGTCGACGCCACATGAACAAATTTACAAACACTTCTTCTCAGCTTTGGATTGTAAGTATAATTTATTTATTTATTTGACATTTTATTAGGCAAAAAGAGAAGAATTTTGGGTATTAATATTTCTGATTTGGACAATAAAATGACAAAAATGATCCCTTAGGTTTGAGTATTAATTTTGAGTGTTTTTAGTGTTTTTTTTATGTCTTTTTTGCTATTTTACCATTAATACCATTATTTTTACCAATGGGACAGAAATGTTTCCTGCGGCAATTCTTTCATTCAGTAGCCAAAACTGACTATCTTACATTACGCCATGGCTTCATTACGGTCAGTATTCCCTTCTTCTTCTTCGATTTTAAATATTAATCGTTTTGATAAATTGAAATTGTTTAAAATATTTAACCAAGTGAGATGTTTAAGATGATTAAAGATTATGTTAAAAACATCGTTCTCTTAACATTTTATCAAATCACAATGATTGTTATATGGTATATAAGACTCTTGATTCATTCAATTCAGTCGTCCATATGTAACGGAAAGTCCTCATAAAGGATTTGATTGTGATCAATTATTATCAAATCATTAACCATATTGTCTCACTAAGTATGTAATTTCTTTTTATTTACTCAATCAATCAAAATGTGTAGGCACATTTACCTTCCACCAACGCCTTGAATTTTCAAAAGTACATTGAACGATCTTTAGAGGATGATTTCAAAGTCGTCGTTGGCATAAGGTAATAAATTAATAACAAGCTTCGACTCCAGCTTTTAAAGTTGTGAATTAATTTCTTCCTTTTATATCTAGATAACTGATGAATAATCAATTATTGTGACCTAAAGTAAAATTTTAACCAATAAAAATCAATTGCTAGAAAAATTATGACAATCAGTCAAACTAATATATGCAAAATCTTATATAGACCTCTTGCATAATAATAATTAGTTACCTCTACACTGAGATCTCCTCTTATTTATTTATTTTTACTTGAACAGTCCTTTCATGTGGTTAATAGTGGTCATCTTCTTGTTAGTTGACGTCCATGGTATGTAACTAATAATTATTATTTAGCCCATCAATAATTAATACTTGGACAAATTTTCCGGCTTATATATAATTAATTCATACAGGTTGGAACATCTATCTTTGGGTATCATTTCTCCCACTCATAGTAAGGAAATACAAAATTCTACTCTTAATTTCACTAAAAATAAATAATAAATATTGGTGATATATTTTATTCATTGCTAATTCTATTTAGTGAAAAATTATTAAATTTACTAATGGTTGATTTTATAGACAGTGTTGGTGATTGGGACTAAGCTGGAGACAATTGTGGCCCAAATGGCTCTTCAATTGGAAAATCAAAAAAGTGTCATCATAGGATCCCCATTGGTGCAACCTAATGATAGTCTATTTTGGTTTAATCAACCTCAATTTGTTTTGACCCTTCTCCACTATACCCTTTTCATAGTAAGCAATTTCTCCCTTCAACTCTTCTTCGTAATTAGAGATAGATGGATTGAGTTAAATTTAGACTAATTAAAATGAATTGAGTTAATAAATAAACAGGTTAAAAATTATTTGAGTGAAATGCGCTAAAAGTGGATCATAGCTCAACCCGCCTAATCTTTACCAATTTAAGTACTATCTTAGTTTTATTAGGTACAAGTTTAAAAAATAAAAAAAGACTATGAATTTTGTGATTTTTAATCAAAGATGTGAGGTCTTTTAAATTTTGTCCTGTTAGACTTGTTATGTACAATTTTATAATTGAAAAACTTATTAAATATAGAAAGAGGCATTTTTTGAAACAAATTTTAAAAAATGCTTAAATTGGAATGACTTTTTTGTTCGTTATTTATAATTTTTTAATATCTAATATTATATGACTATATATCAGTCCAAATTTAGATGGACTGAAATAGATTAGGCTAATTAGATGAGTTGACTAATAAATAAATTTTCCCAATTTTCAATAGATTGCATAAATTATATTTTTTGACCTATTTTCCACCTTTACTGATAACTTCTCGTACTTTCTAATTTATTGATCTCACCACTAATGTTAGAACAAGTATTAGTTATCTTTTAAATTATTTGATCGTTCAGATATTTTTTATATTATCAATATATAAAAATTAAATTTTTCATTTTATTTTTACAATATGCTTATAAAAAAAATAAAGTATCATTTTTTTCTCCCTAACAATTAACTCACCTATCTATTTACTTTGTGTTCCATGACTTGATTGTAGAATGCATTTGAACTGGCCTTCTTTATTTGGGTGACGGTAAATCTCTACCCTAATTGAACAAGAAGTAGAATAACTTGTTCTTATAATTAATTATTAAACTAACAACTCATTTTCTAATTTTTTTTTTTGTGAAAAAAATAAATATTTCAGTGGCAATTTGGAATAAGCTCTTGTTATCATGAGCATGTGGAGATCATTGTTGTCAGGGTAGTTTTGGCGTAAGTCATAATTCCATCCTCCTTCATTTCTTTATCAGAATTATTTTCTCTTAATATTTTTAGTATCTAAAGTAGACATTTTGTCAAAATAGAATTATAATTTATTTGAGACAATATAGTTATAGTCTTTAAGTGATCTAGTAAGCGTTTGATCATGAAAATTGAATATTATGTATTTTATTTAGAATGTTTAAAGTTGAAGTTGTGTTTGAGCCTTCTTTTGCAAAGAATATTTAGAATTTGAATGTACTTTTTCTAAATATAGTTTATACCTCTAATTTGAATAAACTAGCATAATAAATCTACTTGATTAATTTATCTTAAACATATAATTAAATCTGCACTAAAAGAGTAATATCTCATAATAGATAATCACATAATATAATGTTATAGATTAAATATTAGATACAACTATTACAAATATTTTTTAACATATCATATATATTCTTATATATTGGAGCGTCCACAATTATATTTGATCGATTGATCAAAAATAAAAGAATCCTAATTCTTTGCACATATGTGGGACATGCAGGCTGATGGTTCAAGTACTTTGTAGTTACATTACTTTGCCTCTCTATGCCCTTGTTACTCAGGTTTGTACTCCATAAATCATACTTCCATAATGAATTGATTCACTTTACAAACCTATTTTAGTTAATTAAGATTTTTCTTCTAGAAAATTTAGGAATTAATTTAATTGATTGATAGGTTTATCGATGGAACAAGAGATAAGACATAAGTACCTCCCTAAATTATGACCGAAATATCAGAGACACACCTTAACTAAACTAAGGTCCTATTACCTCCTGAACTCATTTGTTTTGTAATTTTGTACGCCTTTTGACTTACGTGGCACACTCCGTGACTCTATGTAGTTGAGGCGCGTGGGAGATGTTTGGATGTCACGTAGACCAAAAAGATGTACAAATTACAAAAAAATGGGTTCAAGGGTAATAGGACCTTAGTTTAGTTAAAGTGTGAAACTGGGATTTCGGTCATAGTTTAGAGGGGTACTTGTGCCTTATCCCATGGAACAATAATGAAACTTTATGATGACTTTTATTTGTGCACCACTGATTAAGTTGCATCACAAACGATTTCTTTTATTCCAACGTTGAAACAAAATTTTTAAGAGCTTGAAGCATGTATATATAATAATACTATCCTTGAGGATATTTCATCGATTACGTGACCTGATAATAATATAAAAGTTCTATTTCATGATTTATTTAACTTTTGTCCAGATGGGTTCACATTTCAAAAGTGCATTGTTGGAAGAACACATAACACAAGCCATAAAGCATTGGCACACAGAAGTGAAGAGGAAGAAAAAGAACAAGCTGCAGGAATTAGAGTCATCACATTATTCTGTTGCTACGACACAAATTACTTCTCCAGAAATAAAATTAAGTGCTAGTGCTCATGAAATTCAAGAGATCTCTGAAGAATCACCAAAAGTAAATATAGTCCATCAAAATGAATCACAAATAGGTGTTGATTGAAAGAGCAAAATTAAAAGAAAAAAATATAAGTTTTTTCACAATCTAGGAATTAAATACTTGGGGTTGTTTGGTAAGGTGTATACGAAAAATGCTAAATAGTGTGTATTAGAAATGCTTACATTATTTCTTATGTATTATTTGGTTTGGTGTATTAAAAATAACACACAGTGCATAACTTTTTTTTGAAAATAGTATTTACAAAGATACCCTCCACATATATGGTAAAAAAGATGTAAAAAAGGTTTTGAGGGGCAATTGGGTCTTTAATCATGTACACTCCTCAACACACAATCGAGTGTATACCTAATGCTTGCATTAGTTATACATATGTTGAAATAATGTACCAAAAAGGTACTACTAATATACAACGTTAATGCATGCATTATTTCTTCTAATACACTCTACCAAACGACCCCTTAATCCCTTCCATTTGTAATACCTCTATTATCAACTAAACAATATCCCAACTGTCCACAATACAAATTAACCCTAGATGACAGGCTTCAACGACTACCTCTAGTCACGACACACCATGGCTACAACTAGTCACAACACACTATGGCTACTTCTATCCACAACTCGAATCTAGAAGATACGTGTAATGACACATTTTGTCATTTTTAAAATTTTTCATAAAATTACCATTGAGCCCCTCCTGATATCGACCCCTGAGTCATTTTTGATTGAATTTTGAAAGTTGGTTTCAAACTTTGAGGGTAGGTTGAGAAATTTGCAAGTTTTTTAATTTAAAAGGCTAAATTTCTTAAAAAGTGATTTCGGTGTCTTTTGGAGTTCAAGTGTTGGAATGAAATTCCGTCGATTCCATCCGTTCTGAAATGTGGAAATTAGACTAATAGAGTTGTGATTATTAAATTCAGAATCCTTTTGAGAATTTGAGGTCCTAAGTTGGAAATTTGTGAAATTTTTAGCCTTTGGGTTGACTTTGGTCAACATTGGGAGTTTTGGATGCTTTGATCGGAATTCTGAGAGTTCCATGGGATTTGGGGGATGATTTTTGTTCTAAGTGAGGTCTTGGTTGAATTTTCAGAGGTCCCGACCTTGATTTAGCCTTTCTAAATATTGTTTTCATTTCGTGTGACTTTCACGAGTTTCGGGTCAAGAAGACCTCAGATTCGTATTTCGATGGTAGTTCCACTGTGTCCGGAACATCGAGTATAGTCTGGTTGTGTATATGGTTTATGAGTATGGTGTTCCAAACGAATCCTGAGAGTCCATTCGATGATTTTTGAGTTGGATGTTTTTTTCTGTTTTGTGTTGTTGAGGCCAACCCCTCTGCGATCGCAGAGAGGTGACCGCGTTAATGGTGCATTTGTGGAGCTCTTTTATGAGCTATCCATCCGCATTCATGGAAAGGGGGTCTGCGTTCGCGGAGGACCCCTAGACATAATATTTCTAAAAACCAGGGTTTCAACCACCATTTTTGAGTTTTGAGAGCTTTGGTGTGACTATTTGAACAAGAATTTTGAAATAAATATTTGGATAATGATTCCTAATCTTAAATCTTCATTTAATCATTATTATTTATGATTATAAGTGTTCATCAAGGTTTTGAAATGATAAATTGAGGTTTTTCTTCAAGAACCCAAGAACTTAGTAAAATGGTGATTATGAACTGATTTTAAATCCTTTTTCGAAATGATTTTCACCAATGAGTTCAAAATGCCTTGGGTAATGTTTTCAAGTAAAGATTTTTGGATTCAAACCCCATTTTCAAAATTGGGGTTTTGGGTTGATTTGACCCATTTTGCAAAATGTATGAATTGGGTGTTGTTACTTTCAAAATCTTATTATGATTACATGATTGAAATAGATTATGTGGCTTTGGACGTTGTTCGTAAAGGAAAGACTCAATTCTTGAATTGACATTCTAATTGAACCGAGGCAAGTGATCTTCTAAAACTTGTAAAATTAGTAGAATCATGTATTTTCCTTCATTGTATGTGTTGGGGAGTAATGAGAATGAGGTGATGGGTTCAATTATTCCACTTGATTGATATTAATGAACAATAAAAGGGACTAATGAAAAAGGCAACCTGTCGATTATAATGCTTTGTGTATTGCCTTCTTGTGGACCCTATTTTGTTGATTGATGAAATGCTTTGATGGCATTATTTAGGACTTGAATTGCTTGAGTTGTTGTCTCTTTCTTATGGTGTGAAATTACTTATTTGCATTGATTGTTGTGCATCACGATTAGACATGTGATGAATATGTCGAAAGGAAATGTTTCAGGCAAGTGATATGATATAAAGCCGAAGGAAAATAGTTTCGGTTAGTGATATAATATCAAGCCGAAGGGAAATGGTTTTGGCTAGTGATATGATATAAAGTCGAAGAGAAATGGTTCTGGCTAGTGATATGATGTAAAGCCAAACAGAAATGGTTTCAGTAAGTGATATTGTATAAAGCCGAATGGAAATGATTTCGGCTAGTGATATGATATAAAATAGCAGGGAAGTGGTTCCAGTTAGTCATATTGTGTCGAAGGGAAATGGTTCAAGTAAGAGTTTGACTATTGTGATTTGATGCATTTCGTATACTTGTTACTTATGGTTGATGCACCTGATATTTGTGATTAATCCGTGTGACACTTGTGATTGACATACTTGATACATGTTGCTTGTTGAAAGATGACTATTGAACTGTCGTTGTTAAGCCTTGTGAGTTGTATATAGTAAAATTATTAGGTTGAAGTTTTTCATGCATGTTGTAGTTTGAGGAGGTTTGGTCAGGATGAAAGGAGTACTCGTTTTCTAGCTAGTTTTTCCTTGTTTATTTGATTACTTGCTGAGTACCGTGTTGGTTGGTACTCACTCCTTGGTTCTATACTTGCGTAGGTTCCGAGCCCAGTAATGTGTCATTGCTCTTCTTTTTCTCCTATTTTCGAGGCTTGTCAAAGGACTTTTGAGAGGTAGCTGCTTGTCATCTCGGTGGGACCTCTGATTTCTTATTTTATGCTTTGTTCTATATGAGAAACAAGGACATTGAGACTTGTAATTATATTTTAATTCCACACTTTTATATTAGTGGCTTGTACACGTGACAACCATATTTTAGGGTTATATTTTTGTCATTCCCCAAGCCTACACCATGGACTTGGCCGACACTTGATAATCATTGCTGGTCCCCAAGCAAACCCTTGGACTGGCTGACTACATAGCAGAAGACTTACTCAAGCAATGATAGACTTAAAACAAAATTAAATCAGTTAAACTCAAATACTTATCTCATAAAATATGGAAAATACTCAATAGAAATACTTATAGTTTGTAAAACAACTCAAAAAGAGTAAATACTGAGAGACACCTTGACTTTATCTATCTATGAAACCTCTATTATTAAAGAAGGATATCGAGACAAGACCCACGACACCTCAAAACTACTAACTAGAAAGTAATTATGAAGTCCTCTAGAATGCAAGTAGGCTCACCAAAAGCTAGCTGGAGTATAGAGTGATCTCAACAAAGCGCCTATTGATGATCCTGAACACTTGTATCTGCATCATCAAATAATGCATGTCGAATGACATCAATACTTTGGATGTACGAGTATGTAATATAGCCGAATGAAATAACTAGATGAAAGGACTATAATAGATAAAATATACTCAAGCTGGATGTAAAGAAATAAAGGATTTAAATCATTTAAAGCTTTACAGAATACTTATTCATGTCTGAACTCACTATAATTGGTGATATATTAAAATACACTTTAAATCTATTTGGAGATTCTCTAACTGACAACCATCACTATGAGTTATGCGATGATATAGTTTCTCGCCGATGCTGCTAGAACTGTCCTATACCGTTCCGGGGTATAGAACCTCTCAACTAAGTGGATTCAATAAGCAATAAGAATTCATCTAACAAGTATGATCCTTTACCCATGTTGGCAGACATGGTTTATGAAAATTTTGAGTTGTCTGAACTCATCCCTATATCGGTGCTCAATACTACATCCAATAATATACTCATGCTCAAATGTATATAACATACTCTTTCTCTGTTTTGAGGTAATTGCTCAAAATACCCTCTTAAAAGAGGTAATGCTCTAAAGTATCTTTGAACTCATAAACTCATTTAAAAATCAAAGTTTCTCTTTCTCAATGTAACAAAATGATACACTTGGGACTACTTAGTTCCCTTATACTCTTTCTCAAATCGTTTCTCAGATTCTTTTTCAAGAATCCTCTTTCCTTTCTCAGAAATCAGTTTAAAACATTTACGTTTGTTTAATATTCTCAATAAGAAATCAATGAACACTCAGAGATAGGGTTCATGCTGAAGAAAAGACATAAGCGATCAACTAAAAAAATCTCAATGCATAATATACAATAATTCAATAAGTAGGAATAGAAATTCAATAATCAAGAACTCAAGAACTGAGAACTCACATCAACTCATCTCAAGAATACTCAAATCTAAAGATAGAACCCTAGATTACTCTTTTACTAATTTGAAAGTAGATATAGGACATGGGGAAGAGCTAGTCCAACACTATTATACCCTTAAATACCTAGGAAGAACAAAATTCTTGGTGAAATTGTTGGAAACTTGAAGAACGCTCAAAACCCTAACTTTTGTTTCTCCTCTTGGAATCCTACTCTAATGATTTGATGTAATGATCTGGTTGGTCAGTTTTTGCAATCCTTGTAAAATTGCCGTTTGATCTCGAGTCTTCTATGATTGAGTTTTGAAAGTTGGTTTTGAAATTTGAGTTACAAGTTGAGAATTTGGTAAAATTATGTTGTTGAAAGGCTAAGTTGCTTAAAAGTGGTTTTTGGAGTCTTTTGGAGTTGCGAGTGTCAAAATGGAATTTCGTTAATTCTATTAGTCATAGAATGTGAAATTTGATATGTGAGAGTTGTTGGTTTTTGATTCAGAATCCTTTTGAAGATTTGAAGTCCTAAGTTGTGAATTTGTGGAATTTTAGCCTTTGGAATCGACTTTGATCAACATTTGGGGTTCAGATGTTGGGATAGGAATTCTGAGAAATCTGCTGGATTCGGCGAATGATTTTACACCTAAGTGAGGTCTTGGTTGATATTTTGAGGTCTCAAGCTTATTTAAGACTTTCAGGCGTTGAGTTAGTTTCTTGAGGGTTTTCGCTGATGTCAGGTCAAGGCGACCTCATATTTGTGTTTT